AAATTCAAATAAAATACGAAAATTATTCAAACAAAATTATATATCAAAGATGAGAGACTCTTCTAGGTGTTTGCAGCACTGATATGACGTCGGAGGAGCTCGGTAAAAAGGAAAATCAAAGCTCAAATTTTGTTGCAGATTTGGACATTTTGGAGCTCTATTTTTTGTTTTTGGCAACGGGCTCTTCAGACAGTGCAAAAATTTACAAGCACCTAGAATAGTCTATAATCTTTTATGTGTCAATATTTCAGATTTTTTTAATTTGTTTGGTATTTATTTAATTTACTGTTCACACTAGTGCAGATGCACCCAAGCTCCAACACGCCGCGCCCTTAATTGTTGTTCTTTTAGTATGAGTAATAAGTTGTAACCAACTGTACTCCTGCATTTTAGATTTTGTTTTAGACAACACATGCACTTTCGTAATACTCCTGCATTTTTTGAGACAACGAAATGTACAGTGTGCTCCCGTTTCTTCAGAAAACAAAAGCAGGCCGTCGAGGCGTGCAAAGAAAGGTGAAAGGCCGTCAATTTGATCTGGGCACGCAGCCTGCAGGCTCAGTTGGCCCAATTCAAAGCGAGTCGTTTCCCGGCATGGCGGCCCAATTTCGCCTTTGTTTTGTGTTTTTATTAGTCGTATATATATCCGAGTTTAGCCGTATCCGAGTAAGAACCTGCTCGCCGAGTATATACCGAAAACCTTCATATGTGGGAGTAGTAGAGATTATAAATGTGACTATAAACAGACATCCGTGTGCGTGCTCGATCCTGCTAGAAACAAAAGGAAAAATCCGGAACATCGGAACCCACATCACATCCCAAGCGCTCCCGAACCTGCAACGAACCATGGAGCGTGGCATGAAGATCACCTGCCGGCGCATCACGCCCAACTTATGCGTGGTCGTATCGGAGGATAATGTGCCCATCGAGTATGTTGATGTGCCGGCACCAAACTGGCCGGAGCACTTCCGCGACCTGCTGCTGAGCGAGCTGGGCGCGGACGTGAGGTTCCGGGTGGGCGGCGAGACCTTCCCGGCGCACCGCTGCGTGCTCGCGGCGCGGTCGCCCGTCCTCAAGGCTCAGCTCTTCGGCCGCGGCGCCGTCGGCGAGGCTTCTCCCGACGTGCACGTCGTCGACGGCGTGAGGGCCGACGTGTTCCGCCAGCTGCTACATTTCATATACACCGACTCGTTGCCGTCGTCGGCCGAGGAGGAGGGCAAGGAGGAGGCGGCCGCCATGGCTCGGCATCTGCTGGAAGCCGCTGACAGGTACGGGCTCGAGAGGCTCAGGCTCGTGTGCGAGAAGACGTTGTGCGGCCACATCGATGCGACTACGGTGGTGGCTACTCTGACGTGGGCGGATCGCCACCGCTGCCACGGCCTCAAGATGGCGTGCTTCGGGTTTGTGAAGTCACTGGCGAGGACGGGCGCGGTCAGGGCGATAGAGGGTTTGGAGGACTTCATTAGAGGCCACACATCGTTAATGATAGAGCTGCTGCGCAGGATTGCCAATCTGCCGGTTCCTGGCGAAGTAGAGGATCAAGAAATGGATGATGAATTAGCGGATGATGAACTGTAATCATTGTTGTTATTTTTTTGGGGAATGGAGTGAACTACTATTGCCAAAGTATGTATTTCATATCACACATACGCAGGAAAACATAGCGTGGATTTCAATCTCAGAGCATGTGCTTCTTTTTTCAGGACAAATATTCGTGGTGGTGGATTTTCACAAAAACAAATGTTTTCTACTAGTTGAAATAATGCATTGTTTTGAGTTTGAAAACCTCTAGCAATACGTCGATAATGATTAGAATCGTAAAATTGGCTATCCTAAATTTAGAATTATCAATTTGATAGTAAGATGTACAGCTGATATTTGTAAGATTGGTGTGTCCTTACTTTTGCCAGCTTGGTCATGTCAATGCAGATATTAAACAAGCAAATCAAAATTATGAAACCTTTGTGGGTGCAACTGTCGATTTTGCTCACTCCACTTTTAATCTGTGGCCTTTATGCTTAGATATATACAAAGGAAAAAAGATTATGTCTGTGCCCGAATGGAAGCACACCCGACGACGCACGAGCTTGATCCAGCTCGTGTCGTGGTGGAGCCATGTGCGGTATGCACATTTAGCAACACGAACAATGTTGAATCAAAAAAGAAAAAAAGATTATGTCAGATGTATACAAAACTGACACTTGCAACCAGAACAGATCAACAAGGAAACCTCTTGAAAATACCATCAGGTAGGCTTTCCTTTAATTTTCAATCAAATTAGATAAAACAAGCAACACTAAATTTAAGCATCACATAAGAAAGTACACCGACAATCAACAATCCCTATTTATAATCGTCAACGCTTTGCCATGTTAACTAGAACCCATCGACACCTTTACACATGACAACATACAAATGTATCAGTGAAGCGCGACGTACCACCGCGCCGGTATAGGTATTTTACTTGTTATCGGCTTATCCTGCATACACAGGAAGACATATCGTTTTTGAAGACATATCCTGCACAATAGAGGTGAAATCGCGGTCAAATAGTGGGACCGCCCTCCCCAAAAAAGCCTTGAGGCAGTAGAGGGCTCTATTTCTAGGGAGTTTCCTTTACTTTTCAAATTGGATAAACCGAGCAACACCAAATTCAAGCACCACATAAGAAAGTACACCGACAATCAACAATCCCATTTATAATCGCCAACACTTTGCCATGTTAACTACAACACATCGACACCTTTACACCTGACAACATACAAATGTATCAGTGAAGCGCGGCGTGCCACCGCACGGGTATAGGCCATTTTACTTGTTATCGGCTTATCCCGCATACACAGGAAGACATATCGTGGACTGGCTGTGAAACAATAGATCTACAACCCTATCCACATAATGGGCGTGATGAACATGTATACTTTTTGCTCATCGTGAGCGAAGTAGGAAGTTAGAGAAATTCTAGCAAAGTTGCTGCCATATTTGTAGCCTTCATAATGCGTATGGAGCCATGCTCCATAAATTTTTTTAAAAGCTGAAGGTTGTGTACAAAAACAAATTGTTATAATGCTACATCCATAATACTTTTCTTATTTTTTTTTTCTATCTACACCACTACTCCAATTAGACCAAACAGCTCAACAAATATTATTTCATACCGTTCATTCGAATACAACGAATAATCCAAATTAACAGTTAATTCAAACGCAAAAAAATCAATAAAAAAATCTAAAAATAAATGAATTTTAAAATGTAAACACACTATCTCCTAGCTAGTTGCCAATGATACTGAATGAGATCCTCAAGTAACTGACCTTGAGAGGTTTGATCTTCAATCAGGTACATCTCAAAAAATGCACACAAGAGCGAGTCAAATATCACGAAATGTTCGGTGCCGTGAGAGGAACTGTCCGAGAGAAGGCACAACAGAGGTGAAATCGCGGTCAACGGCTGACAGTGGGACCCCCCCTTCCCCAAAAAAGCCTCGAGGCGGGAGAGGGCTCTATTCCTAGGGAGTTTCCTTTACTTTTCAAATTGGATAAAACGAGCAACACCAAATTCAAGCACCACATAAGAAAGTACACCGACAATCAAGAATACCTATTTATAATCGTCAACACTTTGCCATGTTAACTAGAACACATCAACGCCTTTACACATGACAACATACAAATGTATTAGTGAAGGGCGACGTGCCACCACGCGGGTATAGGCTATTTTACTTGTTATCGGCTTATCCCGCATACACAGGAAGACATATCGTGGACTGGCTGTGAAACAATAGATATACAGTTCTATCCACGTAATGGGTGTGATGAACATCTATACTTTTTGCTCACGTGAGCAAAGTAGTAAGTTAGAGAAATTCTAGCAAAGCTGTCATATTTGTAGCCTTCATAATGCGTATGGAGCCTTGCTCCATAATTTTTTTAAATGCTCCGGAGGTTGTGTAAAAAACAAATTATATAATACTTTTCTTAAAATTTTCTATCTACATCACTACTCCAATTTAGACCAAATAGATCCACAAATATTATTTCAAACCGTTCATCCGAATACAATGAATAATCCAAATTAGCAGTTAATTCAAATGCAAAAAACTTCAATGAAAAAAATCTATTTTTTAAAAAAATAATTAAACACACTATCTCCTAGCTACTTGCCAATGATACTGAATGACACCCTCAAGTGGCTGACCTTGAGAGGTTTGATCTTCAATCAGGTACATTTCAAGAAATGCACACAAGAGCAAGTCAAATATCATGAAATGTTCGGTGCTGTGAGAAGAAGTGTCCGAGAGAAGGCACAACAGAGGTGAAATCGTGGTAAACGGCTGATAGTGGGATCCCCCTCCCCAAAAAAGCCTCAAGGCAGGAGAGGGCTCTATTCCTGGGGAGCTTAGTAGTTGTAGTGATAAATGCAACTCCAATGTGGTTCACCAAAATGGACAACACCAAATATCTGTGGACAAAAATAGGGGCGAAACCATCCAACGTCTGACCCTTTTCTATGAAAAATGAATAGAACTATACCAAATGACCACCTCTATTCACTTTGGCAAATGTATCTAGATCAATAACAATTCAACCAACCATACATTTAAGGGTGTGGCTAGGTCTCAGGCGACCGAGACTTAACCAAGTCTCAGTCAAGTGATATAGCATATAAGAAGAAAAAGAAATACTAAAAATAATATATTTTTTGTACGAATCTTCATGTGCAAAATCAAAGGAAGATAGCATCAACTAGACATAAAGAAGTCTCAGTCAACATAGACTTAGCTAAACTGTACATTTAAATCAAGAAGTTACATATGTGGCCGTGCTAGCTTTAGGTGACAGGCAGCATAGGCGGGCGAGCCTATCGATCAGATCCCGAACAGCCACCAGTTGAGGCCATTCGATTGCCTAGGTACCGTGTAGGAGCGAGTCCGGCACGCCGTTGCCCGCAGACCTCCGTTCTTGTCGTACCGGAGCTTAAACGTGGTCGCGTAGCGCGAGTCAAGGACGTCCGAGGGCACGCCTTTCCGCGACCGATGCTCGACGAGGCAGAACCTGCCGCGGCCCATGCGCGTGAGCGGTCTTGGTCCTCTCCATGTCCTCGCACACCATCTTCTCCTTGGCGAGCTTCCATGCCGGGGGCGGCAGTCCTTCGTCGTCGTCACCGGCGGACACGACGTCACAGGAGCATACGACACCTGGGTCGGCGGAGTGTCATGACCCAAGGGGAGGAGGGGAGAAGGGGGATGAGATCTGATCGGAGAGGAGAAAGCAGGGGATGAGGAGGGAGCTTGGCGAAGGGGAAAGGAGATTCAATATTCATTACTCGCTGCCCACGCATTCCGTCACGGTACATTAAGTAGCTGTCCCCGCGGGCTCACACACCACCCACAGTGGGCTGGACCCAACACACCACATGGCCTCCGGCCCAAACACAACACACACACCAGTTGCGGTTCAGTTAACAGTAGTTACTGAACTGCACTTGCAGTCCGCTGCAGATCGTCATCTGCAGGCGTGACATTGCCCCCGTCTTGAGAAGAAGCTCCTTCCCAGATGCAGGCCGAGGGGTAGCGCTCCCTTAAGGTAGCATAGTCTTCCCAGGTTGTGGCTGTTGGGGACCGATTGGACCACTGCACTTGTAGTTGAATTACTGGCGCATCTCCTTTCTTCATCATACGACGCTCCACAATGGCCACTGGTTCCGTCTCACTGGTGACCAAATCTGGCACCTGCGGCAGCTCGGAGAAGACGGGAGTGTAATCAGGGGTGTACGGCTTCAGCTGAGAAACATGAAATACCGGATGGATTCGGCTGTCGGCTGGAAGATGAAGACGGTACGCCAGGTTGCCGATCCGTTCGGTCACCATGAACGGCCCGTAGAACTTGTAGGAGAGCTTCCGGCAAGGGCGATTCACAACCGACGACTGGGCGTACGGTTGCAGCTTGAGCAGCACTTGCTCGCCGACGTCGAACGCGCGCTCGGCACGGTGACGATCAGCCTGCTTCTTGAAACGCGACTGAGCGTGAGCAAGCTGAGCACGGAGGCGTTCAGTGTGTGCTGCCCAGTCCAGATCCTCCACAGGTGTGCCCGGGGTTGAGTCGGCGCTGAAGTGAGGTAACCCCCCCCCAGGTTGGGGTCAACGCCGTAGAGCGCTCTGAACGGCGAGCACTTGAGAGACGCGTGGTGTGTGGAGTTATACCAGAACTCTGCTGCCGGAAGCCACTTGCGCCATCGCCGCGGGTTGTCGTGGACGGCGCAACGCAGGTACATCTCCAGACACTGGTTGACCCGCTCCGTCTGGCCGTCCGTCTGGGGGTGGTAGGCGGTGGAGTAAAGGAGCTTGGTGCCGGCCGCAGTGAGCAGTTCTCGCCACATTGCACTGGTGAAGATCTTGTCGCGATCGGAAACGATGGAGCGAGGGACGCCGTGCAGCTTTATGACGTGCTCCCAGAACGCGCGGGCCACCTGCGCCGCCGTGAAGGGGTGATGGAGTGGCACGAAGTGCGCGAACTTGGTGAGTCGATCGACGACGACCAAGATGGAGTCGCAGCCTTCAGACTTGGGTAGACCCTCGACGAAGTCCATGGTCACATCTTGCCATGGCGCGTCCGGAATCGGCAGGGGTTGAAGCTTGCCGGCCGGGTGCAGGTTCTCGTGCTTGGCGTGCTGGCAGATGTCGCACTGACGAACGAAGTCTTCAACGGCGCGCTTGAGGCCGGGCCAGGCAAAGAGCTTGCGTACTCTGTGGTAAGTGGCTGTGGCTCCCGAGTGGCCCCCGACCGCGCTGTGATGAAGCGCGGCGATGAGCTTGGTCTGGAGCGCGGAGTTGGCGCCGATCCACAGGCGGCCGTGCTGACGAATTACTCCATTCTGCAGTGCCCGACCTTGATCGTCCTCGCCCACAACTGCCAGCTTGGCGAGCAGCTCTTGTGACTCAGGGTCAGTCTCGTAAGAGTTCGCCACCTCTTGCAGCCACTGGGGTTGGCACATGGACAGCGCGTCGAGCTCCAGCAGATGGCCGACGCGGGACAGTGCATCCGCGGCGCCGTTGTCGACGCCTTTCTTGTAACGGAAGGAGAATTGGAGGCCAACCATCTTTGACATAGCCTTGCGTTGCAGATCGGTGACCAGCTGCTGATCGCCCAGTGCACACAAACTTTTGTGATCGGTGACAATCTCGAACGGGGCACGTTGCAGGTACGGTCGCCACTTGTCGACGGCCATCATCACGGCGAGGAATTCTTTTTCGTATGTGGAGAGCTTCTGATTCCGCACCCCTAGAGCCTTGCTGAGATAGGCGACAGGATGGCCATCTTGGGTGAGCACCGCGCCCACGCCCGTGTCACAGGCATCCGTTTCGATGGCGAACGGGCGTGTGAAGTTGGGAAGGGCCAAGACTGGCGTGCTCGTCATCGCCTGCTTGAGCATGTCGAACGCTCGCTGAGCCGTGTCGTTCCAAACAAACCCTTTCTTCGAGAGGAGCTGCGTCAGAGGCTTGGCGATGATGCCATAGTGAGGAACGAACTTGCGGTAATAGCCAGTCAATCCCAAGAATCCCCGCAGCTCGGTTGGTGTCGAGGGCACGGGCCAGGCCTGCATAGCACTGGTCTTGCTTGTGTCTGTGGCAACGCCGTCTTGTGAGATCACGTGCCCGAGGTACTCAATACTGGTTTGCGTGAACGAACACTTGCTGGCCTTGGCAAACAGCTGGTGCTCACGAAGGAGGTCCAAGGTGAGGCGCAGGTGTTGTTCGTGTTCCTGCAGGTCAAAACTGAAAACCAAGATGTCATCCAGGGAAATGATGATGAACTTACGGACATAACGACCGAAGACTGTGTTCATCAGGCACTGAAACGTGGCTGGCGCGTTGCACAAACCGAATGGCATGACGTGAAAATGGTAATGGCCGTGATGAGTCTTGAAAGCTGTTTTTTCTTCGTCTTCTTCCCTCATACGGATTTGGTGATATCCCGCGCGCAAGTCGATCTTGGAGAAGTACTTGGCCCCGGCCAATTCGTCGAGCAGTTCGTCGACCACAGGAAGTGGAAATTTGTTCTTCACTGTTGCTGTGTTCAGTCGTCGAAAATCAACACAAAAGCGCCAGCTGCCATCCTTCTTTTTCACCAATAGCACGGGTGCAGCGTAGGGACTCATGCTGTGCGCGATGAGGCCCGAGTCGAGCATCTCCTGAACTTGCCGTTCAATCTCATCCTTCTGCGCCGGTGAGTAGCGATACGGCTTTGTGTTGATCGGCGGAGTGCCTGGTTCCAGGTTGATGCTGTGATCGTATTGGCGACGTGGAGGTAGGGTGGTTGGTTCTGCAAACACATCTTGATACTCGCGCAGAACCTTCTGAATGTTGGCGGGGACCGGTGCAGATGGTGGTTCATCAGTTTTCTCCACGGTGACCAGAGCCGCTGTCCAGATATCGTTGGCTATTTCCATTCTGTGTAGCTCATAAGCATCTAGCTCTGAAATTGGAGGCCTACTGGTGTTTGTGATCCCTTGGAGTTTCACAGCCTTGCCCTCGGTGTCAAACTGAATCGTCTTCAGTTCCCAGTGGCACAACATCGGACTGTGGGCAGAGAGCCAGTCCATTCCCAGCACGCCATCGTAGGCACTCAGTTGCAATACCCGAAGATCAGTGTGGAATGTGTGACCGGGCACTTGCCAGGCCAGTTTGCGCACCATTCTGTTGCATAACAGCCGTTGCCCATTGGCCACCCGAACAGACACAGGAGGCAGATCTTCGGGCTGGACAGCAATCCGGGCAATGAAGTGTTCACTAATGAAACTGTGGGAACTCCCGGAGTCGACCAATAGCAGCATGACCTGATCGCCTACTTGAGCGCGTAGGCGAAGTGTAGATGGCCCTTCCTCGCCGGACATGGCATGCTGGCTCAGGGAGCAGCATTCGGGTTCCTGTTGAGCTGGTGCATCCAACAACTGAAGGGCGTGCACCGTGTCGTCGGACAGAATTTCTCCGAATTCCCCCACTTCAATCATCAGAATCTGCCCCGTGCGTTTGCACTGATGCTCGCGGGAGTACTTATCCCCACAACGGAAGCACAAGCCATTAGCTCTTCGGAATTCTCGTAGTTGTCGTTCCCGAGCAAAATCATCGTTCGCTGGCCGCGGTTGCGCTGGTGCTGGCCGGACTGAAATGATGGCTGCTGTAGATGCGTGAGGAGGTGGGCGACCCACTGGCACGATCCGATGGCGTTGTGTGCGTTGTCGCTCCAACTCCTCTTCCTGAATCCTTGCAAACACTGCTGCTCGAGTGATGCTGGAGGGGGCTTGAAGGCGGACGCCCAGCCGGAGTTCATCCTTGAGACCCAGCAGGAACTGTGAGATGAAAAACTGCGGGCTCAAGTGCGGATCCAGAGACAACAAGTGATACATCGATGTCTCGAACTGCTGGCGATACTCTTGCACGCTCCCAGTCTGACGCAATTGCACTAGCTGATGCATCTGCGCTTCGAATTCTTCAGGTCCAAACTCTGCTTCCACTGCTGCCCTGAAGGCGGGCCACGACAGAGCAGGGTGCGTCTGTTTGTACGCCTGAAGCCACATGGCTGCAAGCCCATCCATATACAGGCCGGCGATGGCGACCCAACTGTGCTGCGGCACCCGGTAGAGCTCGAAGTAAGAGAGACACCGCTCCAGCCAGATGCGCGGCGCGTCGCCGTCGAAACGGGGAAGTCATGCTTGGGCGGCTTGGTGTATTGCTCGGCGCCCCGTTCGTACGCCGTGGGAGAGTTTTGCAGCAGCAGGGGCGGCCCGTGGTTGACGAGCCGGGCGAACGGCAGCTGCGCTGCGCCCTCCGTGTAGAGTGGTGGTGGCGGGGGTGGACGAGTCATCGTAGGCGGAGGTGGTGGTGCGGGGTGGAAGGGGCCTGAGATCGTCGACGCTCCGGACCCAGATGCCCCGAGATGGCTTGTCGCGGCGGGATCGACAGGCGGAGGGGATTTGCGGGCCTCATCCACATCCGCCTGCGTCAGATAGATCTGCTTCGCCAAGTGCTTGAGCTCGTTGGAGACTTGGTCGTTGTAGGCGACTTGTGCGTGGTGGCGCTCGTCTGCGGTCTTCTGGTGGTCGTCGAGGCGGCGCAGGATGGTCTCGAGGAGGCCTTGCATCTTGTCGGTGGTTTCCGTCATCGCATCCAGCACGCGACGGGTCTGCGCGGAGGGCTTGGACGGTGCCGTGGTCGCGATCCAGATCAAAGCGAACCCCGAGTAGGATTTCGAGCGAGCGCGCCGGGGCGGCTCGCACCTAGCTCGGTGGGTGTTACCGCCGATCGAGGACACAGCGACAGCGACGGTGGTGGCGGAAAAAAATAATTTCGGAGGCTCTGATTACCAGATTGTCATGACCCAAGGGGAGGAGGGGAGAAGGGGGATGAGATCTGATCGGAGAGGAGAAAGCAGGGGATGAGGAGGGAGCTTGGCGAAGGGGAAAGGAGATTCAATATTCATTACTCGCTGCCCACGCATTCCGTCACGGTACATTAAGTAGCTGTCCCCGCGGGCTCACACACCACCCACAGTGGGCTGGACCCAACACACCACATGGCCTCCGGCCCAAACACAACACACACACCAGTTGCGGTTCAGTTAACAGTAGTTACTGAACTGCACTTGCAGTCCGCTGCAGATCGTCATCTGCAGGCGTGACACGGAGTCTCGGTGGAGACCCACCCATGCATCCACCTCGCCGTCGTAGTAGGCCTGCCTTTGGAAAGGCAGCATCCAGTCGCCGTGGCGCTTCCACTCGGAAGTCTCGGTGTCCAACGAGTAGGTGCCGTCATGGGAGGCGGAGAAGAATACCGTGCGGCCGTCCGGGTGCGCGGCGTGGCATGTGAGTTGGCTGATGGTGAACGGCGGCATGGGCACGGCGTTCCAGGCCCAGCCCCATTTCTCGTCGGCGGCGAGCACCTCAAGGTAATCCTCGCCCTTGTACAGCCCGCTAGCGCCCATGACGTACAGCCTGCCGCCGGCGGGCACGAGCTGGGAGACGTACCGTACTTGTACGGGGGTGCGCGGGCCAAGGGCGAGGCCTCCCGTTGCCGTGTCGTACAGGAGGACGGGGGCGGCGTTCTCCCCGTCGTTGTAGCGCATGGCAACGATTCTGCCGCCGATGGCGGCGAAGCGCGAGGAACAGTCGTGGGGGAACTCCAGGAGAAAGACCGGCGGTCCGGGGAGGCGGCTCGCCTGCGAGTCCAAGTCGGTGCCAGATTCGCCGTCGAAGTCGGCGACGTCCACCTTGTATATGCTGTAGCCCTTGGTCCAGTCGTCCACCACGATGTACAGATGATGCCGCCGGCCGTGTGACCGCCTGGACCTTGGGCCGCCCTCGTCGTCGGACCTGCGCCGCTTCGACATGCCTTCGCTTCTCGATGCTATCTCCGTCCGGTATGTGTGAAGCGGCGATCCCGGGCGATGTGTTATCTAACGAGAAATTCTGGAAAGAAGAATCGACCGGTCGACCATCTCCACCAACTATATATATAGTCGGAGATACGGCGATTCTCACGGAACTTTCTTCTCGGCGATTTCGGATTTGCAGCACTAAACGGTGCCAACTTCTCCGCGGCGTCCGAGCCGGACTCGAACACAACATTTCCTTTTCTGTTTTACGAGTTTAACTTTTTTTTTAGACAACCTCCGTCCGAAAGTACTTGCCATCCAAATGGACAAAAAGAGATGTATCTCGAAATAAAATATGTCCAAATACATTTTCTTTTATCCATTTTGATGACAAGTATTTCCGGACGGAGGGATTAATACTGATTTTTTTCATTTACTTTTTTTTCCAGGTGAAATAATGTATTACTCAATCACAATGTCCATACAATCAATCACTGGAAACTCCAATGCCTCTTTTCTTTTTTTCGAGAGCACGTCAAAAACGTGCCTTAATTTTATAGAAGAGAGTAGAATAGACAATGTACAAGAAACCTGGGGATGAATGCTAACATGCATCCTAGGCACACACACCCACACACACACCCCCAAGCTAGCCTAAGCCTACTCTCTCACAGAAACCACTGAAACATCCTCCCCCTAAGCCTGCCGCCTTCCACTCCTTCAACTCACCAATAATGGCGATAGCCGGATCTGGCGTGTTCAACTGCTGGTTGGTCCTGTGGAAGACTCGCATTTCGCTGCTTCCATAACGCCCAAATAACCGCAATGACGACCGTATCAAAACCCCTCTTGGAACCCCTACTCCAGCTCACTCTCTGTGTCAACCACCAATCCAAGAGGTGATCACGCGCGTCTGGGATGGTTGCCTGCAGACTCAAAGCATCAAACATGGTATGCCACACTTCCTTTGCGTACACGCACTGGACCAGGATGTGCTCCGCATTATCCTCCTCTTTGAGGCACGTATAGCATGCCGAAGGCCGATCCTGCAACCCATGCCTCGCTCGCCTATCCGAGGTCCAAATGCGATGTTGCACCGCCAACCAAGTGAAAAGTTTGCACTTGAGCAAAACCCAACTTTTCCAGATGCATGAGGCATAAGGCGCCGTAACTGCACCGGGACATAGCCGATGGTATGTCGACCGAGCCGTATATAGACCAGACGAATCCGGAGGCCACGAGAAGGAATCCTGACTGGAGGCGTCGCGCTGTACCGTGCTCATCGCCAAGTTGAGATGAATGAGCTGCATGTGATTGCCGAAGCTGAGATCACTCGATATATCTAACGACCACCTCCCATTCTCCAAACCTTCAGCCACCGTTCTCCTGTTAATTGTCCTCGTCCCACCTTGTCATGTATGAATGGTGCAATATCCTTTGCCGAGAATCCGTGGATCCATCTATCCCGCCAAAACAGGACCTTAGTGCCATCACCCACCGAGATGTTAACTAGGCTATCAAACACCGCGCGGGCATCTCTGTCCTCAATCATCGGCAACCCTTGCCACGGCCTCTCATGGTTCGTCCTCTGCAACCACTCCCATCTAACTCGCAGTGCTAGCCCTTGCATCTGCAGGTTCCGAACACCTAGGCCACCCAGACAAGTAGGCTTACACACCGAGTCCCAAGCGATCAAACATTGCCCACCATTGGCCTTCTCCTTGCCGACCCAAAAGAATCCCCGCATCCATTGCTCAATCTCCTCAAAAACCCATCCAGGAGCCTCAACAACCATGAAGTGATGTATCGGTTTGGCCGCGATAACCAATTTGACCAACACAAGCCTACCTGGCCGATGTAACAACCCCTTTGCCAAGCCGGCGCAAAATTCTTCGCATGATCAAACATGGGCTGCCACTCAGCCCGGGTGAGCTTTCTAATGGCCAATTGCAGCCCTAGATACCTACATGGGAAGGCTCCCATGCGGCAATGAAACACCGATTCCACATGATACTTATCAGTATTATCTCCATGGATCAAAATCGCCATCGATTTGTGATAGTTCACCCTCAATCCAAATGCCTCCCCGAACACCGTAAGCACTGACCGAATGAGGGTGAGATCCAGGTCCCGTGGCTTGACAAACAAGGCCACATGATCAGCATAGATTGACACGGACTGGTGAGGAGCGATGCCAGTGAAAGGACTCAGGACGCCCATGCTCGCATCACGTATCATCATCTTCGACAAAACATCCATGGCTATCACGAAAAGAAGGGGCGAAACAGGGCCCCCCTGCCTTAAGCCCTTCACATGCACGAAACTTCTACCTGGCACCCCGTTCACGATCACTTTAGTGCTTGCGGTCCTCAAAAGTATAGCAATCCACTGGCACCACTTATTGCCAAACCCTTTCCTTCGCATCACCTCAAATAAGAGTGGCCAGGCAAGGGAGTCAAATGCTCGTGATATGTCCAGCTTCAAGAAGACACCCACCTCCTTCCGAGCATAAATTTTCCTGGCAACTTGGCGAACCAGGAGAAAGTTATCATGTAGATGTCTCCCACATATGAACGCGGACTGGTTAGATTCCATGATCTCCTTCATTCTTCTCCGCGCATGATTCGCTAGCATCTTTGCAAACAACTTAGCAGCACTATGGGTTAGGCTAATCGGCCTGAAGTCTCCCACCTCCTCGGCCTCCGGCTTTTTTGGAATGCCACAATGTGTGCCCAGTTGAGTTTGCCAAAACCACGGCCATCCCCTACGTAGAGCTTCATGACCACTGCCATCACATGCTTCTTTATGATATGCCAAGCCTTTTGGAAGAAGGCCGTGATAAACCCATCCGGTCCCGGTGCCGGATCCGATGGCATCTCCTTAATAGTGTTCCACACTTCCTCTTCCGTGAAGATACAATTGAGCTCCGACAGGTCAATCCCTTCCAGGTCGAGGAAGTCGAGATCAACCACCACATCCCGGGCAGTGGCATGCCCTAGTAGCCGTTCATAAGCCTCTGAGAATATCTCCTCCTTCCTTCCTTGATTCGTGATCAGCTCTCCGTTATGTCTAATGTGGGTTATGAAGGTCTTGCACCTCCGTCCATTGGCCACTACTTGGAAGAGTTTCGTGTTCGCATCTCCCTCTTTAATCCATTTAAGCCGCGATCTTTGTCTTTCAATCATACGTTGAAGAGAGGCCAACCCCAACATCGCCTGTTTTAAGGTTCGCCTCAGCCATCTCTCCAACCAAGTCAGGTCCATCGCCTCCATAGCTCTATCAAGTCTAAGAATGACGTAGTTGGCGATGTCAATTTGAATCTTTATGTTCCCCGTCTTCCTTTGTCCCCAAGCTTGTAAGGCCACCGCCGTATTCCACAACAAAGCATCCAATCTTTTAAATGGGTCTGTGATCTCCTTAGCGCACACCCAGGCCTCTTGAACTGTTTGCTCAAAACCCTCTAGCAGGGTCCAGTACAATTCAAACCTAAACCTCTTCTTAGCACAAAATGGGCCGCCGTGGAAAGGTGTAATGGGGCGTGGTCCGAGATGTTTGTGGAGAGAGCTTGAAGCAAAACATCCGGGTAGTAGAGCTCCCAATCCACCGATACAAGCACACGATCTATCTTGCTCATAACCACGTTCTCCCTCTCATTAGACCACGTAAACCTCCTTCCATGCATGTAGAGTTCTTTGAGCTTGTTATTATCCACAAACGCCTTGAATCTCCTGATCATGGATCTGTTGAGATTGGTGTTATTCTTCTCCTCCGCTCTTAAGATCATATTGAAGTCTCCAAGAACCATCCACGGTCCCGGGCATAAATCTCTTCTATGCTGCAATTGCACCAGGAAATTGATCTTCAACTCATCCCCTTGGGGGCCATAAACCACAGATAACCACCAATACCATCCATCTTTATTACGCACATGCCTCGTAAGGAAGTTAGAGTCCCGAGCCAGATTGTCTATCTCCATGTATGTACTATCCCAAGCTAGCAAAATACCACCCCTCGTATCAATCGCCGACAGATAAGCAAAACCATCAAAAGATGGCCCAATGCATTGCATCACCAGATATTTATCAAGTACATCTAGCTTCGTCTCTAGGAGACACACCAAGTTAACCTTCGAATCTATTACAAACTCCCTAACAACATTTCTTTTTGCAGGGTTATTAAGGCCCCTCACATTCCAAGAGAGTACATGCAGGTTCCAATCCATAGGAGACGAGAAACACACCCCTCCTGCCAGCGACTACTCAAGCCGCCCCCAAGACCATGGACGCGCTGGCGCCCCTCTCATGAGCCGGTGGCATCTCCTTGCCAAACAAGGCCGCAATGACCCGGATGTGCTACTCTCTTAGTGGTGACTCAAAGATTTCGACCAACTCTGTGATATTGTCATCATGCCCCTCCAAGTCCTCAGGCACGATACCTAGAGCGCGCATTAGAACATTCTTCGCTTGCGTTGCCTTCAACTTGGCTGGCTGCGCCCTCCTAGCACTCCTCGTGGCACGCCGTGGTGTGTACGTCGCGTCCGGTCGGAGATAAGATTGCACCTTTAAAAGGAGCGGTGGTGCAAGCTTCCTCACCAAGGCGTTGCAAAACCACTTGAGTTTGCCAAACGCAATGGCTTCCTGGGGTGTCATACCCCCATTCCCAGTCTCCTCCCTTTGTTGCATGTATGAATTAACGTCGGGAATCAGCCGCCCAGGCTCAAACTCATGAGTGCATGCCACTTGTCATTGCGCCAACCCCCCTCCTATGAACTGGCCACTTGTCGCTGCACATCCTCGCATGCAGGAGATTCTGCCCCAATCATTGTGGTGTCCCCCACTGGCATCTGGAGAGCCGAGCATGGCTCACCCCCCAAAACCACCTTATCTCCATCCGCAACATCCTAAACCAGTGGATTGGGCTGCCGCACCGCCAAAGACAGAGCCCCTGGATCCTTTGTGCCCGAGCCACCCGTGCTCACCTCCTTCTCCTGTACCGCAGCCAATGGTTGAGCCGGC